AATCTTCCATCAGATCTCTCTGCAGTTGTATGATACCCCAAAAAAGGGTTCAGAACCCTGTGCCATGTCCTGCTAAACACACCACCATGGCTCCTCCAAATAGAACAGACAATACTCAAGGCACACTAATAGAGGAAATAGCTTTCATCCCAGTTTGGTGGTGCATCCTGAAATATGAATGCTTTCCTTTCTCTTTTTTATTTTTGGCAGGGAAAAGAGTGGGATATATTTGTAAACCTTCATTGGTTTAAAATGAAGGCACCTCAAACAGAATGTCATGTCACAGAGTTTGTTTGCTGTTATCTTCCATAATTTATTGTTTAAACTAGATCAAATTAAAACAAGAACAAAACCCAAAGGTGAGTAGTAATGAAAAGAAGTGACCAAGTAGAGGATTTCATCATGATGTTTGTTTGCACAGCAAACAAAGCAGTATTGCTTTGAGCTAAGCCATTTTCACAAGTAAGGCATGTTCAATGTATGCAGAATGGTGAAGAGGCAATGCTTCTGAACAATAGAGGCAATGTTTATGAACAAGAAGCTTATTCCTAAACAGAAACATATATTCGTGTTTTGTCAGACACAAAATTGAATTGTGTGCAAATAATATTGGATGCATTCAAAAATACTTATACTTGTACAGACACTTAAGTTCCATTCAGATAATTTACTTTAAAGGACATGTCATTTAGAGGAAACAGCCACTCTTTCCCAGCTCTCCAGGTGAGCAAAACAACTTCCTCATGTATATTGCTTGCTATATACAACAATACTTGTACAAGGGTCTGCTGTGAAGGGCTTTGCTCTGAGTATTTCTCCCTGAAAACCATTAAGGCACATCCATAGGAGGATTTTAACTTTTCAGACTGCATACCTATTATCATAAATACTATGTATTTATGTGATATTAAAGCACAAGTCCTAGTAGCTCTAATTTGTATTACATTTTAGTTTTTCATACTATTGCTTAGGTTTGATTTCTTAATCTTTCACAGGTCAAGTAACTAAAGCAAAAGATCTCATGACTTGCCTTTTATTGCTGTACAAGTATGAGTTTCCCTAGGCAGTCTTTCCTTTATCAACTTCCTATTGCTGATAGGGACAGAAATGCATTGTTGTGAAAACATGAGGCTGAAATGGGAAATATTTTACAAAAAAACATTGCTGGCTAACATCACCCCAAGGAGCATATCATAAAGCTGATAGGGGTAAAGACTGTTCCAAGTCCATCTGTCAAGAAAGAGCTGAAAATTCAGAAACATTCTTACAGACCTTTAGAACAAACAGAAGAACAGCATTTGCATTAAAAGCACATTAAAACCATATAAAGTACTGTAAATTATATTAAAAAAAAATTTCAAGACACAGCAGTTACAGATTATCAAAGGGAGAGACAGTTGAGAAGCAAAAGTTTTTTGTTCAGTTGTTGTTGTTTTTTTTTTTCTTAGCAATAGCAGCATTTTGGCAAAAGGCAAATGCAGAAGATAGAGAAAAACAGGCAGACAAGGTACAGAGAAAGTTACAGAATCTATAACAAGCATGCCACAGTTCAGCAGGACCAAAAGCACAGTAAGAGCTGCCCCCAACTTCCCTTTCCCAGAGAGAATGGCAGCCACTGCTCAAAGCTTGTTGCCACTTTCCCCACTGAAGGGTTCCAGTTTGCCATAACCTCCCCTGGGAACAGCAGAGGCCACACAGGCTCTGTGCAAACCCCTCACACAAAGGGTGACTCCAGCTGAGTGCTGAACAAACCTCAACCTGCTGATCACAGACTGTGCCCTGCATCCATTGCTCTACAAGGGACAGACAGAACTCACCCCATGCCAGCCAGCACTGCGGCCACCCAGGCAGGGACTGACATCTTTAGCAAGGTTAATCCATGCCAAACGGGTTAGTGACAGCACAAGGAAGGGCTTGGTGTGACCAATCTCACCTCACCTGGCTAAACCTGCTGAAGGCTACTCTGTGGTTGAATACATTTTAAGCATTAAGCTGGTTTGGTGATATAGCAAAGGGGACAGTGAATGTAGGGAGAAAACCCATGCAATTTACATCCATTTGGGATTTCATGGCAACTACTAAAAAGCAGGACTTGCATGAGTCACCATAAAGCTCTCTGACAAAAGCACTTGTGGTAGCTCAGGGCTGCATTTAACTCTCAGATATAAAATTTTTAAATGGCTGCCTTTTTGTATATTCCACAATGGATGTAACTGTTGTACACCTTCCCTTTGCCTTCTCAGTTATATTTGCATCTCCACCAAATGTCAAACCTGAGCATGTTACATGCTTTTCTGCTTTTACTAAATCCTTTTAGAGGCAACTAAGACTCTCCACCAAGACCTACCCCACTACTGAGCATTAGTTCAGGCCTCAGGGCCTGAAATTGCTATTGCCAAATTCCATTTGGTGGTCTTGCCCTAAAGGATGTAAAACACTTTCAGATGTATTACCTGTACTAGGGGAGAGACAGATGGATGAAGTGGAGGAAACAGATCCCTGCCTCTGTCTTCATCTCAGACAGGTTTTTGCTCAAGGTATTTGTCTAGGCTACAGTGAAAGCTTGCAAGAAGGAATATACCAATAGTTTAAATTCAGGAGTTACACTGAGATGTAATCTTACAGACTCCTTTTGATTATTCAGGAATAATATCCTGTTTCCCACTGTATAGGTAAAATTGGTAGTTCAAAAAGATTTGTTTTTTGAAACCATAAATAACTGTAAAACCCACACAGGTTTCCTGACCTAGCTACCCAGCAGGAAGGGGAGCTGAAGGTAAGTACCTACAGGACATGACTGCTGCTCTAACAGAGAACTGACCTGCCTTTAATGCCACTGTGAATTGTTTTTACAATACATTGTATTTTGCTTCCTCCTGCTTCTTAACCATTGCTAAGTCAGTCAGTAGTTCCAAGAGTAACTTAAATCACACTGCACAAAGAAAACAAAACTCAGCTCTAATGGTATTTCTTTAGCACAACAGAGGCACTGCTCACCTCTTCTAGCACTGAATGCACTTCTGCCATGCACACATGAGAATGCACCACAACACCCTGCCTGAAATACCAGCTAAGCTCAGCATGTCCTAATGCACTCAGGGCACTGCAAGGGGCAAAGCTTTAAAAGGTCCAACAGCTCTGAACATTATGCTACAGTTACACACTGCTCTAAAAATCACAAAGCAAACAGAAGGAGCCCTAGATTTCAAGTTTTGCCATTAGACAAAATGGTGTCTGTTCCATCTTACTCCTCTGGAAGGACTACAGTGCTGCTACAGGATTGTGCCACCACTATAGAAGGAGACATCTGAGTTATAGCTGATTTTTGCCTGGTTTATAGAAGTTTATCACAAACTATGCCCTACTGTTTGCTCTACTTAGTGAACATTTAGGTGCTACTTGCTGAATGTTCCTTTGTAAAAGCAATTAAATTTGATTTGTTGGAAGGACTAAACCAAAGGAGATTTTCTGCCAGCAGTTGCTGTGATAAACTAATTGCTAAATGTAATTCAAATCTCCTCCTTCTAATTATCATCACCTACAGCTTCACTCCACAAAACCCCTTGTGCTCATGTCAGTTGCCGTGTATCAATAAATATTTTTTCTATTTATCTTTAGGAATATGCTCCAAGCTACAAAAAACCAAAGTTTTTTCACTTTCAGAAAAAGCAGTTTTAAATCTATCTAGTTATGCAAAAAATGCTGCAGTTCACACATCGCTCATAGCATTTTACAAATACCATTCTTCCCTACCTCTTTCTCACTTTTGCCATATGGAAATTGCACACACACAAAAGAGGAAATCTTGAAAGTAACTACACTCCAAAAATCAACACACTAAGGATAAATTTCTGTCAGATTGCATTCAGTTACAATCTTAGAAACACTTGTATAGTAATATAAAGTCAAAGAACACCATGATTGTTATCTGCTCCTGTGCTGTTAAGGTCTTCTCAACTGGCACTATGCAAACATTCTTTTCTCAAAGAATTGCTCTAAGTATGCTCCCTTTCTAAAAGCAGCTGATTTCGCTTATTCATAGTCTTGTGGAACAAGTACTAGAAATTACTATTTCTTCCTTTTTCTGACATCACAAAATGAGCACTTGGGGGCTGGGCAAACGAGCATTTGTAGCACAGACACTTCTCTCGTGTTAGAAGGAATTAGAATTTCAAGTTAAAAGGGAAAACTATGTCACAGTAAGACACACACATTCACCACCCCACTTCCAAAGCCACGACCAGGAGCAGCACAGATGCTGGCAGAGGGAAGAGCACCATGACCTGCCAGCACCACGAAATTCAAGGGGTTTAAGGAATCCAATCCCATTAGCTGTCAGACACCCAGAATTCCAAAGGAGACACAATCCAAAGATAATGGGATCTTTCCCACTCAAGTACCAGATTAATAAAGAGAAGCTTGGGAGAACGAGAAACCACACCCAGAATTCAGGAAAACACAGAAATCCAGTTTATGAGCTATTCCAGTGCTTCATAAAAACTTTCAATTTCACTGACATTGAGCTGCATACATTACAGGGCTCTTTATCTGGGCTGACTCGGAGGAGACCCTCAACTGAGCTTCTGTGTTTTCCTGGTATTCTTTCAAAAATGTCCTTGAAAGAACTGAGAACATCTAGGCCCCAAAGCCACAGTGCAAAATAATATATTGAGATTTCTATGTAGCACACAAAATTCACAAGGCACCGCAAAAACCAAACGAGTTACACAGCTCAAAGGTGGGTGACATTAAATCTCACTGGTCAGCAGGCTGCCCACAGAATTCCCCTAGGATCTGCCCGAGAACTTCTGACTGGACATAGAGAAAGGGAACCCCAAATGCCAGCAGCTGACACATGAAAAAGGAGTCCAGAGGGTTCTGGGCTACGTGGTGCCCAATGGAGGAGACCGTGCTGTGCAGGCGCTGGCTCAGCACCCTAACTCTGCCCACGAGGCCGAGCGAGAACTGCACCACCCTGCCAAAGAAGGAAGCGGAGCTACCTGGGGCCCTCTCTGCTGAGCTGGGGAGGCTGCTGGCCCGTCCGCTCCCATCGCTGGCCATGGCGTCCTGCACAGGTCCTTTGGTGTCCTGCAAGAAGGTGGGCAAGTTAAATTCAGGGTAAAGTTGGAATTGCTGTGTCTACTGAACAGCTGAGCGAGGAATTGAGATGTCTCGCATGCATCGTGTAAGGAAAGCTCTGAAAAACAAACATGCTCCTTCTCAGTTTGAAGCTTTATTAAAGCTCTGAAAAACAAACTGGATAGCCAAGAAAGTCACAGCTGTAAGAGCCCTCAATCTGCTCCTCTGGGAAATAAAACAGGTACCATTTTTAGTCTTTATTTTTGGCAGGAAGTATGGCACATATTGGGATAGATCCACTATCCTTGCAAAAAGGAGTTCAGCTCCAGCTTGTACTAATAAAACCTGAGTATCAGGCAGGACAGGTAGCACTGCTTGCACAAAGGAAAATATAATTTAAGGGACAAGAGCAGCTTGCAGCAGCAAGCTGAACAGAACTTAAGAAACCAGCATATAGATTGCTCAGAGCATGTAAAAATACTCGGAGCATGTGAAAAGGGGCTTGACGAGAAAAATTAGGTGCCTTGGATTATAACAACAAAAGCTGAAGGATTTTTCTGTATTGCACAGTGTCTCTTCATCCTATATTTACAGCACAAATACTTCTATTTTGATAGTATAGGAAAGGGGATATTCTGTCTTTTCATGCAGGTTCCTGTTAACACAGCAGACCTTCAGAAATGAAGGTATGTGATTTTCATAGCTTATGCAAGAGGGATAGAACTTTGTGTTTCAAAGGAAATGCAAACAATTTGTTTCATCTTAAGCAAAACCACGGAGAAACAAAGCAAAACTAGAACTGGTAACATTATTCATTTAGTCTCAGCATACACTAAGAAATTATTTCAGCTGACAAGAAAAACAAATCAAAATTCTGTTTTGAACAGGATAGCACATAATTTGATAATAAGTACCATGAAAAGAGCAGTACTAAGTAGAGGAATTGCTTTTAAATAAGATTTAGTTGAACTGTAAGCTTTCATGATAGATAAAGCAACTAAATGCACCCTGAATTTTTCTACTTTCTGAAAAAACCCCAAACCATCACACATGTTTTGTCTATGTTAAGAATCCAAATCTATTAACACAGCACGTTAGATGAAAACAATGAGTTACCTTTCCTGACAGAGGACCCACTGCTGGCCTCTTCCTCTGAGCATAACCAGAGACTCTGTAACAGTAGTGAGGTTTACAGTAGAATTTGCCTGCAGATAAAACACAAATGATGGTCAGGAACAGGAACACAGGAATTTAGCACAATATAAATGTCCATCTCACTGCAACTTGTTTTCTGCTGCCACTCCTTTTGCTCTCTCCAATTTCTTCACTATATGCAGAGGCAAATACTGGCTGAAGTTTTAGCTCCAGCCCTGCTCTCTCCCCTTGTAACTAGGCTCTTTTCCATTGGGTGCCTGACAGCCATTTAGTTTAAAATCCTATCAAACACCAAAGCAAAGCTGTGAGGCTTGTGTGGTATCACATGCTAACAATGCGGCAGTGTGTGAGGAACAAAGAAACCATCACATGAAAAGCTGGCAGAAGCACTTTTGGAAAAAGCAAGAATGAATACAACCAGCAGAGGAAAGTGGGAGAGGACAGTGTTAACTCCCAAAGAACCATCTCTCAAAATGCACAGTGGCTACTTGTAAAAAGGACAATGACTCATTTTCACAAATGAGACCTTTTGTGATCCTGCTGGTTTTACGAACACCTCAGAAGTCTAGAGAGGTTTTTCACTGCTATCTGAGCACTGTGAGGAAGACAAAGCAGCATTAGCAATACCATCATGCAAATACTATTGGTACTAATAAAAGCAGCAAGCTGATGCCTCTTAATTATCTTCCACTGTACCTTTGTCAATGTATCCTGCTTGGCATAAGCAGCCCATAGCATTCTACAGGGCCATCCCATTCCTAGAGCTTTGCCAATGCATTCCCAACACATATTCTGACCTCCGCCTCCAATTTCTCTGTGCTGGTATTTGCAAAATAACAGCACAGAGATGGAAAAGTGACAAACATCTTGCTAGAAGTCTTTACTTCAATAAGTATTTCTTAATGTTTACTCATACCAAAACCTGCTTTTCGAGATTGTCTGAAATGAGCATCAACTGAAAACCTCTTACACAAAAATTCTCAGAGTCTGAAGCCTAAAACCAGACACTGACTGCAGAAGGCTGCAGAATGCTTGTCAGTCCAAACAGCCAGATGAACAGCAACAATGTGTGCATAGCTTTGGTTTTTTAACTCTCAAAGAAAACTCAGAATGAAATACAAGCTACATTTTCACAACAGATCGATACCACAGATTTCTGTTTAGCCACATCTGCTTCATATACACACACAGCTGTTGGGCATGTAATATTTCAGAATGAATGCTATAAGCCTGCTGAAACTCCAAGCTTTGTGTTTGCTTCACTGAGAACTGTCTGGCCATAACTGCACACACAAGCATGCCTGCAGAGGCAATCATTAAAAATATGGTGGCAAAAACTTTCAGCCCATAGAGCTGACACAGGAGCTCAGTCTGTTACTGCTTAACAGACAGATATTCAGTTACTTGTGAGTGCTCAAAATAACAGCAGTGCTCAAAAAATGCTTTTCCCCAACTTTGACTTCCGATAAAGATGTTGCTTTTATATGTTGATCTCAAAATTACCACTGGCCCCTTTAAACTTGCATGCCAAGTCTGCTGACCTTCCAGACAAGCAATAAAGGGGTTTCTATTCCTTACTGGGAGTCTGGTTTGATTCTAAGTGTCCTCAACTCTTCACAACCCAGCAGATCCATTACTTAAAGTCATTATACAATGCATTATGAATACACAATTTTAGTTCTTTTTGCCCCTTAAACCAGATGGTGTTTCCGCAGCCATTTTTCCACCCAGTATATATTAAAAGATTGTTCTTACACAGAATGGACACCCATCAATTTCAATCTGCAGTAGAATACCTTGGAGTGTCATCCTGTGACATCAATTTAAAATTTTTACTTCATCTTCACCTCAATCAGTGGGAAAAATACAGGTACTAACACTTTTTTCTTGTTATTCTGTTTTCTACACCATTATGTCTGAAACAGAATCCTTTGCACCTTACTTGTCACTAGTTTTACACCATTTTACACTTATTTTCCTAGTGAGATTGGATTAAAGATAGGCAGCTGTGTAAGAAAATAAATTCATACCTGCTGATGTGAATCAACATTTACCTCAAATACTTTCTCATACATTTTCTTCAGAAAACGTGACATTTTTGTCAATCACTGCTCAAACAAAGACTGTAGTACACAGCTGCCCTTACAAGCAAATGACTTTTCACAAGTGATGGATGATCCTAAATTATTACTTTCAATATATACGCTTTGCTGATTAAAAGTTTCTTTCACCTGCTGCCATATTGTCTGGTTTCTCAGACTTGTAGGGTATATCTGAAGCTTCCCTTTATTCTTAGCATGTTAGATTCTTTTAATTGAGGCATCAGCAAGTTTTGTAATCATATTCTTTTCTCCTTAGTCTATCAGATACAAAAAATAAGCCATTACTGAATCTTCAGTAACTACTGCTACAACACTCTAACACTGACTTACCTCTACTCAACTTTAATGTTCCATGTTTTCTATGTAAGTAGAACTCAGCTTGTAATGACCAATTATCAACAGCCCCTGATTATAAGTTCCTGTTTTATTACATCTAAAATAAACATACAGAGTTGGACAGTTGTGGTACCTTCAAGAAGAACAAGCTGGCAGCATTTCTCTCCAACTTGTTATTTTCTCTTGAATAGTATTAAACACTCAGGGGTTTTATTTAAATACTGTCAGATGAGGACAGTAAAAAGTCTAGCCCTCGAACTCAGCCTGTGAAGCTTTTTAAAGCCTCCAGTTACTGTTTGTTTACCCTGCACTCCAGCAGCTGTTAATGATGCCTTAAGTTTTAGATTTCATGTTTTCCAGATTCTGTACTGCCTTAGTGTGTAAATCTGAACTTCATAAAAAGTGTTAGCAAGTTCTCTCCACAGTTTAGTCAGACAAAACAATCCTTTTCCAGCCTGAGAACCAAGGACACTGTTGCAGCTTTCAGTCCAAAAGTGTGAACAATGGTGAAGTGAGGAGAGCAATCTGGGATGTTAGGACTTCACAACCTGAAGCTGTAATTGGACAATTAACCCAAACATGGAAATGGACCAAAAGTCATAAAAGTGTGAAAACTCATGACCGGTCACCCATCTTGCATCCACCTTGGGTGGAGCCACAGCCAGGCTCTTGTACTGCCCAAGGTGTAACCTTTGAAGGCTTTTTTAATAAATCCCTCCTTTATTCCTTTAACTCTGTCTAGCCTCTGTTCCAGGTAGCCTCTCCAGGCACCACTACAATGTTAACTCCTATCGCTTTGGCTGCTCTGCTGCCACCATGACCCAGCCATAGGAAATCCCCGAAGCTCCAACAGCTGGAGGGATGGCATTTGGGGAATGGAAGTCACCCTGCTCCCTAACTCACCAAACAGCTTTTAAATGACAGAAGATCTGCCAGGCCAGGAGGGGCCTGGTGAGCAGAGGCCGCTCCCTTACCGTCCTCGATGTCGTAGGCGTAGGAGGACAGGCGCAGGGTGGTGGCGCAGTACTCGCACTTGAAGCAGCTGCGGTGGAAGAACTTGCCCTCGGCGCTCAGCCTCTCCATCACGTAGACCCGCTTGCGGCAGAAGTAGCACACGTCGCTGCCTCCCAGGTTCTGGGGGAACTCCTTCTTGAGCGAGCCCTGGACACAAACAGGGATGGCTGAATTTGTGTGTCCAGCCTCACTGAGACCACACACCCAGGTCATGTTTTAGCTCTTCAGTTATGTGGATACGGGAACACCTGGATGCTGCTGCAGTTCTCGGACACAACTCACGTTGGTTTTAACCAGGACACCAAAAACTAACCTTGTTGTCCAGGAAAAAGGCTCCTAGGATGCCATGCCTACATAAGTTCTGGGTAGATGAGTGGACACCAGTATTATTAATGATGACCCTGAAATCAGTGACTTAAGGAGGCATATGAAGAAAGGCAAAACCATTAAAACACCCTCAAACAACAATTCTTAGACCTACATTACCAAAACCAGTGTCTCCTCCAGAAAGCAGCAGTGCAGAAGTGTTATGAACAGTTTTGTCAATTCATTATGCCCAGTCTTTGTACCCTGGCATGAGATTAAAATATTTGGCAAAGGAAATGAGGACAGGAGTGAGGGTGGATGGAGAAAGGGAAACAAAAAGCTCTCATAAAGCTACGACAGATTCCATCGGTGGTGTAACAAAGCTCACAAAACTGGTGGACACTCACAAAACTTGAGATCTACACAACATCTAAGCACAAACACACTTCATCTCTGGCACATTGTCTTACCAGTTCCTTCTTGTCTAGAAGGGTTTTGGGCTGCTCTTTCCTTTGAAGCTGATTGGCTATCTGCTCAGCCAATGAGCTCACTCCGCCTGTGTACATCTTTATGTACTTCTACCAGATGGGTTGAATAAAACAAGAGTGGTGTGAGAAAAGAAAAAAAGAATCAAATTAAAAAAAATAACTAGAACGATGAGAGGTTAGGTGGTGAAAAGGTGCAGAGAGGTCAAATCATGCAAGACAGTGGACAAATAAAGTGACAAGTAGTAATAGCAAAGCCAGTGTCATCTGAAATCACCAGTACAGTCCAGGATCACCTGTAGGAACAGACAGGAAGGCTTGCATTTTGCATTTTTTAAGTGTTCCAGAAATACTATGATGAAGGGAGCAGATCTTGTTTTCATCTGTGGGGTATTTTGTCCTGGAAACTTGAGTATAGACACTTCTAAAAGATGAGGCTAAATATAGGTTAGATTTTAGGTTCCAGGTAAAACTGACATCAGAAACAAAGATCTTTTAGAAGACGTTACCAAGTCTAATGCAACGTGCTGATTTACAACAGTATATTTGTGTACTTTGCACCTGGAAAGAATTAATTTACAGAGCATTCACAGAGCAGGGAGAAGCCCCTACTAAAGAACTCACAGTGAGTCAAAAGTATTAATTCTTCCAGTGCTAAAAATACACAGAGGTTTAGATGGAAAAAAAGATGGAAGAGCCTTCATCCAATGCATTAAAGCCATACCTGCATACATCTGGAACATATATTTGTTCAACCCTGAACATGGTTTTATGACTTGGCTTTTCTCCATCATGGGCACAGAATGACTCCATAACTCTGGATATCTGAAAACCCTCCAGTATTTTCAGCAGTCTAGGCAAGTTGGCTGTTACCTTAGATGGTACCAAATGAGTGTCTGCAAGCCAAATTCAATCACTGCAGGAGTGGAGAAAGTGTTTTTCACAGGAAACACAACCACTGGCACTAACTACATGGTTAAGAAAATGAGGTGGTTACATCCATGTTAGCTCAGTCCCACTGCAAACGCCACGGGTTTGACTCGGAGCAGCAAAGAGCACGCCAAGCAACTTCCCTTTTCCACACTAAGCAGCATTATGAATGTTTCTAGCTGGATTCTCAGCTAATACAGGATCAGAGAGCCACTCAGCTTCTAGCAAGTGGGAAATGCCAAGGATAACAAAAGGAAAGTTATATCTTAAAACCCCCTTGACTTTTAGCAAAACTTGCTTGAAGCACAGTAGTTATTTCCCTCAACTAATAACTAATTTAATATGTGTGGTCATTAGCCTTTTAGGAATGTTTAAAATCTTCACAAGTTCAGACATGAGGACAGCAGGAAGCATCAGAGAAACTGAAATTCAGCATAGAATGAGTACTTCTTTGGGGAAAAAGATTATGAAAATGGAGTGCTCAGCCAGAGATTACTGCTGCTGTCACTACAGTCCTAATTCCTTAAGCTCTCTGTCACTGCAGTAATGAGGGGAGGGTTTATTTCTACCCAGAAAGAATTTACACCTGTCTATTGATTCCATTCCAAGGGGCAGAACACTTGCAGTATTTCTATATGCAAGAAATAACAAATGATTTATCTCTGAGTCTCCTAGGCTCCACATACATATGTGCAGAGTTGCTTTTCAATGACATATATGTTGTCAAACATGACATTTAAAATGGTGCTCACTTGTAAAATTTTCTTCATCATTGATTTTTAACTGGCAACCATAATAATTTGGCCAAGAGTTTTCTGTTTCCTCTGAATGATCAGAGCTTTTGAGGCTTTTTGAGTTTCCTTAGAAGAGAGATCAGGCATTTCCAAGAGAAAACTTCCTTCTAGCTGAACCAGGTTTCCCCTAATCAAGCTTTGATTTGAAACCTTCAACTGCAGATCCTTCAGGACCTTTAAAATTCTACCAGCATGTAACATGTTCCATGCTAAAAAAATGAATATGTCAATATTAACTGACAGCACCTTGGACTATCTGGTGTGAGAAATTTACTTGCTGAATTTTTAATTTGGAGTTCTGTGTTTCGATTTGTTTTGCTTTTTGCCTACATATCACATCTGGCCTAATTATGAGTATTGAGTGAAGCATTTTATCTTTCTTTCCATGGTCTTCCAGACTTACAACATTCTGCAACATTTTCAAAAGGAGGCAAAGAACCTGCTCCAGCTTAGGTCAAATCAAGTTCCTGCTGTTTATGTAGGACAACTGTAACTAGTTCAAATTCTCAGTGATCTTTCAAAAAGCCAAAGCACTTTTTATTTCACACTGTCCATTAACCACATATGCACAAACACATTCTGTTGTTTAGCCCAAAACTTCAACAAAAGCAGCAAGCAAAACCAGAAAGCTTCACTGCAAAGCCAGGACTATCAGTGCTCAAAACCCCTGGTTTGAGTGAGAGATGCACCACAAACTTCTCACAGACACTAATGTTAAAAAACATTTAGTTTCAAACTGCTTTATGGCTGGCAACGCCCGAGCTGTGCCGGGCACAGGCTGCTTTGTGCAGCCTCTCCCTTGTGCAGGGACAAGCACAGAGGCTCTGCAGGTGGAGCAGTGCCAGCCTGGCTGTGTCCTGTGAGTGTCCTTGGCAAGCACAGGCAGCTGGGTGCACCTGCAGTGCTCAGGTGAGGGCTACCTGGCGCAGGGAGTCGGAGGAGGGTGAGGAAGGGCGGTTGGAAGAGCGGAGGCTACGGGAGAGCTCCCACTGGTCAACAAAGAATCGGCGAGACGGCTCCGTCTCGGGCTAAAACATAAAATAAACATCAACACAATCATACATGTGCTCTTCTAAGAGAGAAGAGAAAATAATAAAAAAAAAAAACCCAGCCCAGGCTTTTCTAACTACCATCAAGAACAATTTTTTAAGGACTCTTATAGGAAAACTTTGAGAAAAATACCCAGGGTATCTTTACTTTCTCCCTAGCGAGGCAGAGTAGTCATTCCAAATTTGCTCTTTATTACGTTTTACATTATTTAGGACCATTTGGAAGCAGTTACCTACTTCCACAGATGTCCAACCTCCTGTAATTCAACCAACTAAGCCACTGGCAAAGACCCCAAATCAATTTCCTCTGCTCCTTCTGTATCTCCCATTGTTCTCTATTACTGGCTCAAGGCACTAAGATCATCTTTCATGCCATGTGAGACCTCTTCTTCATTTTAACTATATAACCAAAACTCTCTTCTCCTAGGGGACAGAAGAGAAAGAAGTTAGCTTGTATGTATTTCCAGTAATTAACAGCAAATTTCCAACCTAAAAATTACTGTAAAATGATTAGAAACACTGAACAAAATAAAGAATGTATCAATATAAAATAATCTGCTGATCTTGATTATCAAATGGCAAAGAATAAATCACAGACTGAGAACCTGCATCCTTCTCAAACTGGTTTCTCACAGGAGAACCCAAAATTTGGTCTTCCAATATGCCCTTATCATTATCTCTACAGATGATTATGCCCATCCTCCAGTGAATACTTCATATAAGCAGGGAAAAAGTTGGAAGTATCAGACAAACAGCACTGGAAGAAACTGTGCATTCCTAAAAATTATAGTCTGGAAATAAAAAAATATTCACATTACAAATAACTGGCTTTCTTTGGAAAATAAATTATGGCTTTAGTTATAAAAAGGAAAACTAAATGTCATGTAATTGCATGACCCATGAAAGCAGCTACTTCCAGCCACTTGGAATAGGCTAACCTCAAGATTAAATTTACTGAGCAAAATGCAAAAGAGCTTGGCTTTCACAGTTTCCCCAATTTATGGAAATATAATTGTTCATGCAAAAATTTTCAGTAAATTAACATTTAATCAAGTTTCTTCTCTGTGAATGTCCTTACTTTGCTAAGCCTCCTCTTTCTCAGTATTTTCCTTGTTTTCTTCTCTTAAATCCTACATCATAATCCATCATTGCTTGCAGTGTTCCAACATCTGTTTCCTTTTTCCTCTCTGCCCTATCTACTTTATGCTTTCCTCTACTTTGTGTTCTCAGTCTCTCCTCCTTCTCAATTCTGCATGATACAGAAATTAGACAATTTCAAAAATAATTTCTATCTTTGCATCTCCACACTGAGAAGGAGCTTAAAAATTGCCAGAGAGCACTACAAAAAGTAGGAGCAAAGTATTTTGGTCTAGATCTTGATTTCTGCATCATCATTTTAACTGAATAAGGAAATGCACATGAGCATTGCAGGCCTTGCTAGAGATATTAAGTCATGGCACCCATTAACAAAGAGGTACCACTTTGTTTAAAGTAGTCTTCTTATTCAGGCCTTCATAGCCAAAACTTCAAATCTAGCCAAAGGTTTGCTGTTCCTTCTTGGAGAACAGCTCCTGTGATTTTAG